TCTCCCAAAAACAATAATATAGCACCTGCCTGCCTGGTCAGTGCTGAGCCCAGGATTCAGTCAGGGTATTTCAGGCCCCTTGGGTGAACTCCCACCTTTCTTGAGCTTTAAACTACAGACCAAGTGCCTGCTGGCTCTGTTTAAGATACACAGGAGTGGAAACAGGAAGAAAAAAAAAGTGGGCAAATTTTGACTTAAAAATAACCTCCCCCCCTAAAAATCCACACTGCATTCTTTCTAGTGGGATCGAGGAGCAACCCAGAGTTCGCTACCCTGGGGACCCCTTTACTAGAGGCTCTCTCCTAACATTTGGCGTTTTTCCACCCCACTGGGGATGAATGGCAGGCAGGGCAGAGCTCCCTCACAAGCCTGGCATCCCAGGGTAGAGCAGAGCCTCCCCGCAGGAGAGAGTATGGGACGGGGGGAGGGGGGGGGGGAGCCGGGAGAAGACTGTTAATTTGTTTCCCGGAACGCCCTGTTAAGAATCTCGGCAATTGCAGTTAGTGCCCCATCGTTTGGCAGGCAGAGTAGCTTCTCCTCGCTCCCAGCTGCACGGGATCTAATTCGCAAACGCACCATCTTGCATTCAACACTTAAATGGAAAACAAGCAGCCCCCGGGAGGGAGGGAGGCAGGCGGTCTAACTCTGCAAGCGCTTTTCCGAGGGATTTATGTTGCTAGTTGGTTGGTGCCCCTCCCGTGAGAGGATTTCGTGGAGCGACGACCCTCTCTCTCATCTCGGATCCAAAACCCCACTCTGGCGGGGGGGTTATACACGGCCATTAAACATGGATAGAAAATGGGATTGGGTTCGGCCTTAGGCCTTGCCAGTATAAAATAGTAACTAAAAATCTGTTCACAAGAGCTCAGATTTTAAAGGGAGATGCTGCTTATTCTTCCCCCACTGGAAACCTGGTTAAAGGAAATTAAGGCCTCTCTTAAAGGTAACTAAGATTAGAGGGCTCGGTTTCCATTCTCTGTGTTTCTGTGGGCCGAACGCCCAGGTCGGTCAGCGAGTTTCTCTCTGGGTGGAATGACGAATTCCTCTCGCCTGAATTCTAAAATGCTCATTTTTGCTTGGTTCTGCAGCTGTAAATGTCTGTTGCCCATGGGGCCCTAATCCTGGCGGTAACGGGTAGCTAGTGGGAGAAATGGGTGAATGGGGAAGAAGAGGGAAGAAGAGCCCTGCCACTGTGAAAAGTTGGGAGACCTGCGAGGAGACAAGCAACCGCAGTTCCTCCGGGCCTCGGCCCCTTTAAGGGCTTCACTGACTCAGCTAAGCTTCCCCCCCTCAGGTCGTGTTTTTTATGAATGAAAAACGTCCTTACATTCATTATATAAACAAGCCTGTGCTGATTGGTCAATGGCCCCCCGGTGCATAGATTATGTAAAACAGATCCCTGAGGGGTGGGGAGGGACGTCCCATTGACCAATGGGAGCCTAAGTTGATGGGGCGGCCAGGCTGGATTTGCCCGCAGACAGGGTAAACAAGAGGTGATGGACAGCTAAGGGAGCAGCCTTAAGCCAATGGGAACGCGGCAGGGCTAGGGCGAGGGGCCAATGGCGACGGGCGGAGCAGCGGGCCGCGGGGGGCCGGGCCAGTGCTCCAGCCTGGCTGGCAGCTGCGGCGCAGAGTCCAGCGGCTGGTGCGCGGAGCGGTTCCCTGTGCCCGGAGCGGTTCGGCCCAGCCATTTGCTTAGGCGCCCAGGCCCGGTGCGCGCGTGCGTGAGCGCGCCTGCGCCCGGGGCCGCTGCACGGGGAGAGCCGCCGCCTCAGGTGAGGGCGCGTTGGGGGGGCTTACGAGGGGGGAGTCCAGGAACGAGGGTCGGAAGGGCTGATTCATAATCTTCACACCGGGGTGCACTTTTTATTTGAGATGAGTTTCCCTTCCCCCCGCCCCCGGGTTCTGACTGCCCCCTCCTCTCGCGACCCGGTCCGGTTCGGTTTCTGGGAGGCTCCGGCGGGGGTGGCTAACGGTTCCGGAGCGCGTGGAGAGCGGGTTTCCGCACGCCTCAAGGGAGGCGCTCGGGAGCGTGAAGTGCGGGGGCTCCCGGGCGGGGATGGGGGCGCGGAGTCGCGGGGCTTTATAGTCTCCGGAGGTCTGAGAGCCCCGAGGGGACCTGGAGGCTCGCGAGAAGAGACGCTCGGCGGAGCTTTGCAGTGGGGAGGAGGGGGCCGAGAACAGCAGCGGGGGTGGGGGGGAGGGGGATGTATTTGGGAGGTGATGTCCCAGAACCCCAGGAGCGGTTCAGTGACATTAGGCTTGTGCAGCCTGCGGGATTGGAGGTCGGCCCGGAACTTGCAGGCCTTGCAAGTTTCGGGGTGTGGAAAGTGGACACCCAGCGAACTGAGCGTCAAGCTGCACAGCGATTCCCGAGAAATCCGGGAGCATCCAAACAGCAGCCTGGGGATGGTGGGGAGAAAAAACGGGTGCGGTGGTGATGGGGGCGGGGGAGGGGGGGATGGAGCGATGCTGGAGCCTCGCGCAGGATTAGGGATCTAACCTCATTTTCAGAGGAGAGGGGACCTCTGGGGGGTTGGGGGGGCCCGCGGGGGGAGGTAGAACTCCTCGTTGAGAAGAGGTGCCAAAGGAGGGGTGTTCGGAGGGTCTTTTGGGGGGAAGGGGTGGAATTGGGGGCGGTTGGTAGCTCCCGGCACCGCAGCTCGTTTTTATGAATGTGAGTGACTTTATGAATGAAGCGAGTTTCTTTCGTTGGCTCCTGCTCCCTGCCTGCGGCTTTTTTTTTTTTTCCCCTCTCCCTTTTTTGTGAATGAAGCATTGAGCCTGCTTCCTAAAACGCTGGGGTGAGGGGCCTGCGTCGGAGGCTGGGCGTGCGTTGGGAGTGGGGGCGGGGGCGCCGCCGAAGGAGTTTTCATGAATGGGGAAGGCTGGGAATTGGGTGGAAGTGTGTCTTGTTTTGTGAATGGGGCCCAGCGCGAGGGATCCAGTTACAGGCTGTACCTGATGTAGCTGCCGCGGCTCGCTCTCCCATTCATAAAACCGGGTCCGCTGTGCGCCGCGGGGGAGAGGCCTGGGCCGCTTCGCTGCTCCGCGTTAAAGTTTTCCTGGGGGCACCGAGGAGGACGCGGGGGGCGCGGGGCGGGGGAACGGGGGGGGGGGGCGGAGGAAGGGAGCAAAGGAAGTAGTTTAAACTCCTGGATGAACTCAACCTTTCCTTCAGGTTTAAATATATATATACTTTGAACACGATTTATCTAGCCCTTGAACTGCGAGGGCTGCTTTAAAGATCTTCAATGCCTCGGATTCGCATTATGGCATCCTTCTATTTAATTTTTAAAAATATATTTGCTCGTCATGGTGAAGTATTTTGCAGCATATTTTTATCTTGAGTCTCTGAATATATCTTCCCCCTCCGGTTTCCCCCTCTGATCTCCTACCCGTTGTCCCCTACCCCGAGTAGAAATTTACAGAACTTCCAAGGCCAGGATTTAATCGGACAGGTTTTTGAAGGGCACGGAAGACTCATTTCCATGCCCCTCAACGCAGTGCTGGTGGTTCTCAGGTTTTGTATACGGGTTGGTGACATTTGATAAAGGGGCTTTTTATTCTGAACATTTTAGCGATATTTGGAAGGCACGCAAGCAGGCCAGCAGGAGTGTTGATTTTTTATAGGAAATTATGAACTGGTTGCAGCTTTGCTCCTCTCCCTCTTTCTCTTTGACTGAAAATATCTGATTACTTGTGCCAAAGTGCTGAGAGGAGGCTAGCGGTGAAGGGTTTCCTTCCATCCTGCTCACCAAAATTTGATATGATCCACACAGTGTGAAAAACAAATTGAATGAAATTGTCCACTGAGAAAAAGTTCCCTATTTAAAGTTTATATACAAGTTAAACAAACGTGTTACCCTTACGCATTTTACATTGTTTAAAGTTCAAGAGGGTGGAATTGTTTTTCCATTTTGTTGACTTAACTGTGTATTCCTTATTTGGAGAATAAAACATTGTTCAGGAAGATGGTACCTTCCTAAAATTGTTGTTTTATTCCTCCCAAATTAGAAAAAGTTCCCTCCTCTCCATTTTAACCCCCAATTTCTCTTTCCAGCCCCAAGATTTGACAGTACTGAAACAAGTTTAATTTTATAATTTTTATGTTTGGGAGGGGGGAGGAGAATGGACATCAGTATAAGGGAAATACTGAATTTTCTTTTCATGGATCTTTTGCTTTTAAAAAAGATCTGTACGATGGAACTTAGTTTCCTTTATCCATTACTTTTCATAGTTATTTTATTCTTTTAGAAGTTAGAGATATCAGATATCTCTGTAAGTTGCCATGGAGATTATTTGTGACATTCCAGACATACACCCGTTTGGACAGAAGGTTTAAGTTTTAGTAAAGAGCAGTGTGAAGATAAGTATACCTTTGGTGGATATATTCATGGAACTATATATAGTGTTTTGCCACTGACCCACAAAATACTTTTAGAAACACTATGTATGTCAGATTCTTAATTGCCAATAATTTAGACTGCTTAAACCCAGTTTTCTACTTCCTGTCATGGTAGTAGAAGAATTAGATTTTATATATATATATATAACAATCCCAGCACTACAAATGCCTTGGAGAGTCTTCTATTGAAGAGAACTTTAAATCACCCTTTTATAATGAAACTAAGGTGTCCCTCCTTTTTAAAAAAAAAAAAAACAAAAAACAAAGGGAAGATAATAGCAAACCTATACTCTAATGATAGAGAGAGAGAAAAGGATAAATAAATGGATTTGGCGCTAAGTACACGATGAACCTTTGATGCCTTTATACCCAGCGTTAGTCTGTAAAGCTAACACCTTGAGTGGGCTTCACGTACCTCAAAGAAAGGTAGTGATTTGCATAGGCCCTAAAGAAGGGATGGAAAAATTATTTCGTTTCTCTCCCCCCTCTCAGTAAAAATCTCCCAAATTCATATTACAGGAGGACCCCTTCCCCCCAGAAATTACTCAATGCTGAAACCTTTCAAAGTGATATTCGAGACCTTGGAAGCACCATGGATGGGTTTTATGACCAGCAAGTCCCTTTTATGGTCCCTGGGGTAAGTTTCTGTGGCTTTTGATTTGTTTTGTCCTCCCTCTTCAAATTCCAGTCTTCTCCTTATTGATTTAGTAACACCACCCCCTTTCAAGTCCCCCTTTTTTTACACCTGAGTCTTCACTGTTTGCCTTTTTTTCAGAAATCTAGATCAGAGGAATGTAGAGGGCGGCCTGTGACTGACAGAAAGAGGAAGTTTTTGGACACAGATTTGGCCCATGATTCTGAAGGTAGCAAAGCGTTCCCCTCTGTGTTGTGGCTTCCTCAAGTGGCCCCGAGGGAAAGCTGCACGGAGATTCTCCCCTTCTCCCCCAACAGAGAAATTCTCATTGTGGTGTCTTCTGTTTTGAATTCTAGAGTTGTTTCAGGATCTCAGTCAACTTCAAGAGGCTTGGTTAGCTGAAGGCAAGTTTCTTGGCTGGCCTATTTTTCCATGTAAAACATTTTGCTGTGCTTTTTAATAAAACGTTAAGGTCTAAAATAAAAAAATCTCTTTTTCAGCACAAGTTCCTGATGATGAACAGTTTGTCCCAGATTTTCAGTCTGATAACTGTGAGTACCTTTCTGGCGGTGGCTGATTTGTTCTGAAATTGTTTGGTCTTGGATTATCCATGTCTAGATGGCTTTTTTTTTTTTTTTTTCAGCTATATAGACAGCATTTTTGGACAGTGGAATGCATTTTGTTTCTTTTAATAAAGTTAACCCCAAAACATTGGTTTCATTCCTTATTGAAATTATTTCTAAAGTGCTTTTATCCTATTATAGGTAAGGTTTACTGAACATAATTTAACCCTAAATTTCTTATTCCCTAAGACTATTGCAAGGCTTCAAGCTCAAGATTATAAATTAATTGACATGGTATATAAGATGTTGGGCCAAACATCCATTAGCCAGACATTATCTTACAATGCTTTTTATTTGTTTTATGAATTAAGTCCTTGATGCACATCATGAGCCTGACATTTTATTTTTTTTTAAAGGTGCAGAAAATAATTAATGGAAGGTTCAGTTCATTGTGGCTTCGCCTACTATGTTGTCAGTTTTGTTTTCTACTTCTAAGCTGAAAAGGGATGGTCGCAGGGTGACCTGATTGACTCCTAATTTTCACGTGTTGTCAGTACTTTATCATTCGGAGAAGAGTAAAACTACTTTTAAAAAAAGGTTGTTAAGTAATCATGTCATTGAGATAAGAAATAAGGTGGCCATCTAAAAAGACAGCTCTCCAAGCTGGCAGGGGTGTGGTTAGCTTTGCACTGATCTTTCAGAGCTGTCCTCAACAGGTTTGGGGAGCTTTTATGGTCCAGGCAGAGCTATCAAGGACAAAGCTGGCTGATGAAATTTGAGCAGCACAGGGCAGCTCTAGAGAGCATTAGTCACTGGCGAATGAGCAGGTTTAAGAGAGGCCTGGAGAAAATGCTGCTCTCTTGAGAGTTGCATCATAGAGAAATTCATGTCTCTTAGTCATAGTTTATAATAGCAAGCACCTGAGCCAGGCAAGGATTCAATTTCTCATTTTGTACCAACAAATTCTTCCCGGCTTTGTTTTAGAGAGAGGGGACGAGAGAAAATGAATGACATGGAGAGCAAGAAAATGCTTTGGGAGAGAGGGTGTCTCTGAGTCTCCGTCAAATCTGGGTGTTCTAAATCATTCGATGAAAGATCAGAGGCACCAGCTAAACGTTCTTTAATGATAGGTCTCCTATTCGAGGCATAATGCCATGAGACTTTAAAAGGGGATAAACTACAACCCATAGATGCATGGTTACCGTAGCTCTGTCACAGCTTGCTTTGGATATTTGCTTAGGAAAGTAAATGATGTTCAATTTTGCCCTTTGGTTGCTTTCAAGTGATTGGGAAATTTGCCACTGAAAGACTAAATAAAAATAACCCAAAGTGGGGTGTGTGTGTGTGTGTGTGTGTGTGTGTGTGTGTGTGTTTGTGTTTGTGTATATGTGAGTGCACATGCATGCATGAATGCATACATAAGATAAAAGGCAAGATTTGTAATCCCACTCTGTTCGGTGTTGCTAACTTGGCCCAGCCTCTCCAGTTCTTGCTCAGAGCAGCATAAATCGCAGTCTGTTTGGGAGGTGGCTTTCTTGGCAGAGGTTCATTGAAATGCTTTTATGACACTTTTGTTTGTTTCACTATAACCCAAAAGAGTGAAAGAGTGGTGAGATGACTGCATTCACATTGATTTCATGGGCTAGAGCAGAGGTGCGTTCTTTAGAGAAAGATGTCAGCCAACAGGATTTATATTCGGGGAGATATTTATCTGCAGGAATAAGCTGAAAGGAAAGGATCAATAAATGGCTTTTGGCTCCTTAGAAGCGAATAGGATGTGCTAAATTCTTTCATTAAGTTGTCATGCCTAAATTGGAGGTGCTTTGGGAGATATTTCTGCTTACCAAGGGTGCTGTGTTTTTTACCTTGTTTGCTTTTTGCTTTAACTTCTTATGGTTGAGCTTTGCTGTCTTTTAAGGATAAGACAGATGGTTGAGTAGCCTTGAAAGGTATTTTAATAATTCTTTCCCCTTCTCTATTATTTCTGGAGATGGACCTTCAAGAAGAATAGATTTTAACAGATCCACTTGCTTTAGAGGTTAGTGAAGAACACAAATTTGGAATGGTGTATCCTTCATCCATCATCCTTGCTGTTGGTGTGACTGGTTTGACTTCTGTTGAAACTAACAGGGTAGATGCCCGGATGCTGGCAGAGCCCAAGGCTGCGCCCACTCTTCTCTGTGAGTGTATCTCACAGCCTTGGGCTGAGGATCCGCTTCTACTCCTGTCACTTCTCCTTCCGGAGGAGCCTGTGATTACTTCAGGGGAGTGGGAGAAGCTCATTCATTCAGATTTAATGAAACTTTATAAGTTGGTTTGAATCAACTGGTCCGTGAACTATGAAACAAGCCTGCACTTGGCTCGGTAAAGCAAACCTTTCCCTACTCTAGCAGATCGTTTGAAACAAGCACGCTCCCGTGGCCTGCCCCTTGGAATGGTCTGCCTTCGCTGGTAATGCCGATTTGGTTAATTTTCTGTTGTGCGTGTGAGAGACTGTAGGAGAGACAGAAATGAAATATCATGCGGGTAATTGTCTTTACTTTAGAATTCAGTTTTGGGAACTATGGTGTACTTTCTTCAGCAAGCACCTACGAGGTCCACTTCTAAAGAGATGATATTTTGTTAAGTATTCTAGCTCTAGGTTCCTACCCACAGGCATTCATCCACAAGTGTGATTTGAATAAATGAAACCATTGTTCTAAGTCTTATCTAAATGCCCAGCTTATTTCTAGCTGTATAGATCTTACCTTACTTCACAAATACAAACATTAGTAAAGTATCTCCCACCTGGTCAAATCCAAGGGAAGAAAGAGTGCAACCTATAGCCTATAGGGGTTCTGCCAAGTTCTCCCCGGTGTCCCTGGGTCCTGAGAAGTAACCCTGAAAAACCCAGATTGTTTGAGCTGGAGGTTTCTTGCAAAGATAATTCTTGTCCAATCCCTTCATTTTACAGAGGGTTTCATATAAAACTGGCTAGCTGGAGAGACTGTCTAGTGTTAGGCCAATAGCAGGAGTTAGGTGAAATGATAAGAAATTATTCAATAATATCCTTAAAGAAGCAAAAACTACAGAGGCAGGGGGTGCTGGCGGGTTCAGGTGTGCCCAGGGCTCCCCCTCGTTATTTCAGATACCTCCAGACGGCCCTCAGGAGAGCCTTAGAGAGACTGCCGGCTGCCTGGTTCAAAACCCCAGTTCTCTTTATTCCGTGATCCTGAGAAACTTATTAAATATCTCAGTGCTTTGAGTTTTTTTTCATCCAGGACTACAAGAGAGAGAGAGAAATTATAAAACAGGAAAATTATAAAATGGACATGTTTCCTAGAAGACATATTAGCAAGTTATAGATAAAACTGTGTTATATATATTAATTATAAATGCATGTGGCTCAATATGTAAATTAACACATAGAGCTACCAAACCAGGGAATCTGGGTCAGTAGATAGATGCATACACATTTTTACTATACATTTTCACAGAATTAACTACAAATCAAAACCATAGACAAGTAAATGTGGGACTCAAAACCCATAGATTTGGGGTGGGGTGGGAGGGAGTTATATTGATTTTTCTGAACTGAGTGCTTGAGCATTTAAGGGTATTAATGGATTTTAGCATGTACAAATCGTGTTTTTTTAAATGCAGATTTCAATTTTTTCTATCTTATTTATGTCATTTGTGATATTGTGAATGTTTACCAACATCTCAAATAACAAATATTTTATGCTGGGCAGAGGCATGATAAAAATCTTATTTTAAAAACATGGCCTCCATACTAAGTATAATTTAGAGAACTGTTTTAAAATCTAAGTGACCTTTTTTCCCCCTGAACTGTTATTTTTAAATATGTGTCTCAAAAAGAATGGCTGGACTGGAGGAAGTACGAGTAATTTTCAAAGGACTATCTAATTAACCTGTGAAATTGACTTTTCATAAATACTTTTCATAGATGGCTGGGGAAATAGGATTAACTATTATGACAGCCCTTGAGCCGAAAACACATTGATCTTAGTCCTGTTCCAATGTGAGCTTATTCAGTGGGATTTTTTTTCCTTTTTTACTATCTGAGGTTGATGTGGTAGAGGCAGTGCCTTCCTTTTGGAGAAAACATAAACCATTGGACTGAGAGGTGTTGTAGCAAAACTCTAGGTTTACTTGCTCTCTGGTCCTGGACCATTTCCACTTGAAAGGATCCTCCTAAAGTTTTTTTGTTATAGAAAGTAAAGAAGAAAACTGTAGGCACTTTAAAAATGAGAATGTTGCTCGGCCAGTGTTTCCCAGTGGTTTGAGCATCAACCTATGAACTAGGAGGTCACTGTTGGATTCCCAGTCAGGACACATGCCCACGTTGCAGGCTCCATCCCCAGTAAGGGGGTGTGCAGGAGGCAGCCTATTAATGACTTTCTCATCATTGATGTTTCTATCTCTCACTCCCTCTCCCTTCCTCTCTAGAATCAATAATATATATTTTTAAAATGAGAATGTTGAAGAAGCCAGGGTATCAATTTATCGTTTTTGAAGCCAGTAGTTGGAAGGTAGGGAGAAGGAAGAATGCTGAAGAAAGCCGGAGGAAAATGTGGGGCAAAGGGAGATTATTTCACTCCTGGTTACAGTGTATTTTCAAAATCTCTGTGAGCCAGTTCTGACCCCTGAGAGGGTGCTAAAGGATTGGTGTCTTCCCGTTTTGATAGCGTCCAAGATCCTTAGACCCAAGTCTTTTAAGGAACCGAGACCTGGAGTTCCCATTTAACTTGAAGAGCCATGTGCTTACACAAATCTGTTTTCCTCTAACTTTAACTCAGGTAGGCTTATTAAAAACGATGGATTTTCCTCTGCCTCTTAGATGTCTTCCTGCTTTTAGTCCTCTGATAAAACCTAGGAACCTTCCCAGGCCTTTGTGTGTGGTGAGAACCACCTGGGATGGGGGATTACATCAGGTCTGCCTGGTGGATCACTTAGGTATAATAGATTCCAGGTAACAAAATCCTGCC